TTTTCAATTTAATATTTTATTAACATAAAGCGCACTTTTGTAAAGTGTAATCTTCACTTTTAATTACGTTATAATACTCACTTGTGTTTCTGCAGAGGACTTTAAGTCTTCAAGGATCACGGAAACTCTGGTAATTTCAGCATTCTTCTGCACTAGTTTTTCATCCAATGCTGCTCGTTCCAATTGTACCCGCGCTAAACATGCTTTATACTTTTCCGCACTGAGTCGCATTTCTTTCTCTACAGTAGATCTTGCTTTTCTGATCATAGCGTTTACCTACATTAATACGTTCATTTAAAACATTATACACGAGTACTCTCGCAAGAGAGCACAATGTATTCGGCAAACATCACAGAAAATGAAAAATAGAAAATTTGAGAAAATTCCAGAAGAGAAATAAAGTGTGCACAATAAAAATTCTTTAAATATATCATGCTTTTTTCTATGCTGTCTGATATAGTAAATAAAATTTTGTATTCAAACATTAGAAAGAAGCACTCAGTCAGTGATGGTTTTATTTTACGCACGTGGGACCCGCTTACTTTCGCGTCGCTTTCGGCTATCACTCTTTTAACTCTTTCCTCGCATTCCGTACGACAAGCTGCCAACGTTTCTCTGGTAACTGCTTCTGCATTTTCTACCATTTTTTCAGCGTGTTGCTTAATTCGCTTCGTTTCTTCTTCAACCTTTTTAGCAGCAACTTCTTTTAATTCCACTATCTCTTTATCTCTTGCCATTGACAGCTACACAGAAAACAATAAATGATACTTTGTGAATAGGTAATTCTATGACAGAAAATAAAATATAAATATTCTTTATATTTAGAATAAAATGTATATAAAAACATGAATCGCTTTACATACGTTTTCTATTTCCTTCAAATAATCCAGTCTTGCATTCTCCAATTGTTGTTTCAGTTTAAATGTTTCATCATCATGAAGTTTTATTATGTCAGCTAAGTCTTCTTTTTGTTTCTTCAAAACAAGGTTATGTTTTCTATCCGATTCTTCTAATTCTTGATGTGCTTCGTATAAACGATTATTAACCTACATTATACAATAGAAAGAGATAAGTATTTCTTTCCACTACTTTAAAATTCAAGAATATTGTTAAGTATTTACATCTTTGTAAAGTCTTTGGATATCTTCTAGCTCTTCCTTGAGAAAATTATTTTCTTCTTCAACATCTTTTGCTTTGGTTTCGATTTCTAATTTACGCGATATTTCAAAGTCGTTTTCATTTCTAAGAGTCACTTTTTCTTTTTCAAAATCCGTAGTTAATTTATTAATTTCTTCTTGGTGTTTATATCGAACATCGTCCATTTGTATTGAATAATCTTCAAGAAGTTTCTCATATTCAGCTTTTAATTCATCTAATTCGCATTGAAGAGCTGATAATTGTGCTTGAAGTTCAAGAATTACATTCTGTCGTTTTTGTAACTTCACCTCCAATTTATCACGTTCATCAGTTATATTAATGATACACAAATTAAGTTTTGACTTTTCTTCATCCAATAAGTTGACTTCATGTTTGTAATCTTCCTTAACTCTCTCTAATTTTGTTACTAGTTCTTCAATTTCTGTTTCGAGAGACTGAATCTATACCAAAAAAAAAAAAAAAAGTAAAACAAAAATTGAAAAATTTAAATGAAGTTAATGTATTTTCCATAACTAACTGGTTAAAAGTAACATGCATTTACATTTTCTACATTTTTGTATTTTTTGTTGGCTAATTCAGATTCCAACGCAGTTACTCTTTTTGAGAAATCTGTAATGCGACTTCTGAGATCTCCTTCCATGATTCTTCTTGCTTCAATTTCGCGCTCTTTCTCCTCCGAAACCTCCAACAGGTGACAACGAAGATGTTCGATTTCAGCTTGATGCTTTTCGTCATGACCATTTAATACTTCTTGCTGCAAT